TCTGCTGGAATTTTTCTTCTTTGGGAGTTCTTCTCTGGGGTGGCACTTTTGCATCTAAATAGATTTTTGGGCATCTCTTATTGGTTCCTGTAACTCTAAGGCATGGCTGTATGTCTTTGGGGGTTCTTTGTGGGTTTTCTTTTGATTTCCTTTTTGGGCCATTCCTGGTGATGCTCAGGGGTTACTCCTGGCTCTGCACTAGGGAATTACTACTGGAAGTGCTCAGGGGACCATATGGGATGCTGGGGATCAAATCTTGCTAGCTAGATGGTGTCTAATAGAATGTAAGAGGCCAGTAAAAATTGTCTCTGTGATCTCATAAGATAGGCTTTTTTTTTTAAATTAGGCTGCTCATGCCCTCTGTCATGTCCTTAAAAAGCCACACATCTATATAGACCAGATTAATCCTTTAATTTCTTTGAATATACTCTGAGGAATAGGCAGTGTTTCCATTTACAGATTTGTGAGATGTATCTTCCTACATAACAAATATTTCTTTCATAACAATTTATAAAAATTGGTAACTCATGGGATCTAGTAAGGATTATGCACGTTTCTGCCTATTTTAAAAGCCTAAATGAAGGGAGAGACTTTCATTTCCTAATATTTCTTTTTAAAATTTAGGTCCTCTTGGGAGCAAGAAAAACTTATGGCACTTACCTTACACACAGCCAAGCCTGGTTCTATCCCCGGCACCCCATATGGTCCCCTGAGTCTTTCAGGAGTGATGCCTGAGTGTAGAGCCAGGAGTCAGCCCAAATCCAAACCAAAAAATAAACAAAACACCCCAAAAACAAAAAAAGAGGGGTCTATTTTTGCCATTTCTACGTGGGGACTTTGTTTCACATTCATCCTCACAGAGGCTTAAAATATTTAGAAGGTAAAATGTTTCTGTCAGGCAATAAAGGATAGAGATTGTATAAACAGGTATTTCATCAATAAGTTTCTCACTTCCCTGAAAACTGCATCATTTTTGTGTGCATGTTCTTAATTGTAAACATTCATTTGAGACAAGATAACCACATCCACTGAAGAAGGAAGTTGAAATCAGTGAACTCCCATAGGTGACTTCCATGAGGCAGAGAGAAGAGAGACACTCACTTTCTCCTGATCCACTGCTGCCATCCTAGCTGGGAAAGCTAGGATTAATAAATTCTATGATGATTTCTTCATGGCATAGAACATGAATCTTGCCCATCCAACTAGGTAGCTATCAAGCCAAACCTGATGTCTACTTTTCCTTTGTTTTTTTTCTTTTTGGGTCACACCCGGCAATGCACAGGGGTTACTCTGGCTCATGCACTCAGGAATTACTCCTGGCAGTGCTTGGGGGACCATATGGGATGCTGGGAATCAAATCCGGGTTGGCTGCGTGCAAGGCAAATGCCCTACCCACTGTACTATTGCTCCAGTCCCCTACTTTTCCTTCTTGGCATAGGACTTAATTCCCACCACCCAATTTCCTGGGGAGCTGTGAACTCAGCTGGAACAAGGAATTGCTCTTTGCAGGAAAAGAAAGCCAGGTCTTACCCAGGGCTTGTGGGTCCTTGTCTTTTTCACAGAAAATTATTTCAGGAGGAGAGTAACAGTTAAGTAAAAACAGATTTTATTTGGAGGCTTTCTGGGGAAAGGGAAGGAAGGAGAGAAAGAGAGAGAAAGGGAGAGAAAGAAAGATGTTCAAGGGAGAATGCGGGCTTCTCCAAAGGTGGAGAGAGCCCCAGTACACATCTCAAGAGGGGAGATACAGGCGACAAATGTGCTCAGACACTACATGTGCTTGGACATGTGGGCCCGTGCAGCACATGGACTTGAGCAGTATATGCATGTGCTTCCTTTATTCAAGTTGGCCTTTATAGGGTTTCTTCAAGCTGCCCCTTGTGGGGCTTTCTACCTAGATAAGAGTCTGTTTATAGGGTGGTTGCCAATGGGGTAGAGTTGGGATATTGGGATAGTCTTCTTTGAAACTCCATTTCTTGACTTTTGTTCCTGCTGGAGCTTCTCTTGGAGGGTAGGTTTAGTCTTCTGTGGTCTGTGCTAGCTCCAGAGAAATGTCTTAGATTCCGATTCCTGTATCAATAAGGTATGTCCAGACAGCCATAGGACTAGCTGGTTATTACTTTCCAAGAATTCCATTGCCATAGGGTCCCCTCCCGGTTTAGTTGCCTACATCAAAATCAACCACTGAATTTGGTCTAGCCAAGACTTCTGCCACAAGTTCTTAAATATGAGTATTTTATCACCAAATATAGAAGTTGATTGCGGGTATTTTATGATGATTTTCACCACATGGATATAATTGCACTTTGGGGGGAATTTTTGTGAGTGGAGGGTCATACCTGGCAATGCTCAGGGGTTACTTCTGGTTCTGTACTCAGGAATCACTCCTGGCGGTGCTCAGGGGACCATGTGTGATGCCAGGGATCAAATCCGGTCCAACCATGTGCAAGGCAAATAAATGTCCTGCCCGCTGAATTATGGCTCCAGCCCCTATAATTTCACTTTTAACAAGTTGGTTACTATGTACCCTGTTTTTTTTTTGTAAACAGGTTTGGAGAAAAGAAACCATCCACCATGTTATTTTTACCAATCAAAATCATAGGGTTGAGACCAAAATGAAACTTTCTGAGCAAATTAGTTGTAACAATTGCTCTGTTATTTATGAAATATGAGTGAGCTTCTGAGAAATAAGCTCTCTACTTGATGGACCGTGTATTTTACTGGCACTTTCTTAAGGCTGCAGTTCTGAAAGCAAATCAATCACTGAAAGAAGTACCCTGAAATAGGGAACAAATTGTGCATTAGAAGACTCTGGAATTATGAATTCCAGTTTACAATGGAAACGTATAATTCAGAAACATGCTTATTGGGAGGACAGACAATGAATGAAGTCATAGGAAGGAAGGGCAGAGATGGGAGAATCATTAACAAAGAGCTTCTGAGTCCTCTGTTGAACAACACTGAGCTCTTTCATGAATCAATTTTTACATTGTCTTAATCTTCCAATGGGTGGAGGGGCTGCCTGTGGGCGCTTTGGGAAAATTACAAAATTTGAACTTGTTTTAGCAAAGTTCTTATTCCCTCTTGTTCTTCATTCGTTATTCCTGGCCATTCTCCTCCACATACTCATTAAAAACAGTGAAATTTCTTTCTAGTCCGTGCCATTTCACCCCCTGTATCTTTTACAGTGACTTCCCATCACTCATGGAACATTTTTGTTCCTTGATCATGGGCTCCATCTCTTTCCCAAGCATGTCATCTTCCTGAGTGACTTCACCAGTGTGAAGAATGTACTGCCTCAGAGACCACCATCTGATATCCTCTTTTCTTCCAACTTCCTTCTTTCAGAGAAACTACCTCAACCCCCATTCTCAGTCTTTATGCAGCATTTGTCATTGTCTCAGTCTTAAACTTATTTATAGATTATTTGATTTTCAGGATTCTACCATAGACTATAAAGGAAACTTCATGGAAGAGGGGACACTCATTTTATCTTTTCTCTAATACCCATCACAATACCTGGCATGGGTTATGGTCAAATACCTGTTGATCGAAGGAATCAGTCCCTTATCACAAAGCATAATGCTAATAAAAATATGCATGAAAACAGAATATAAGGAGAATGAAAAATAATTTAAAGTTTACGATACTATTGGGAGTTTTTCTTCTCAATATTTCAGAGCCTTTAGTATATGACCAGACTTGTGTATCATGATCACTGAGGTTTGGCAGGCACAGAATTGATATGAGGTATTGTAAAAAATAAAGTAATTGATGAGCCATCCAGGCATGGGCCCTGTGGTAGTTTTATATTTTTAATTAATTAAATACTAGTGCCAAGTATTGACCCCCATTTATTGGATATGCAAGGCAGACACTTTACCAGTGAGTCACATCCCCAGCCTCTTTGGCAATTTTAAGGTATATCTGCAAAGTCTTTGAAACTATTTTCTTCAAAGGATGGAGACTAATTATTCTCCTCTTCACTGATACTCAAGTGATAATTGAATGATACTAATAAAAGAATATGGCATAAGTGATGAGACTTATGAGAATAGATATTTTCAACAGCCTGGCAGCTTCCTCCGTGCTCTGTCTCTCAAATCTTAGCTGCCATGTCATCCACTCAGAACGAGGAACTGAGCTGTCTGCCATCAAACATGAGAATGAGTTGCCTCGAAAATAATCTGTCAGCCACAGTTGAGCCTTTTGATGATGGTAGCCCCACCCAGTACCTTGATTGCAAACTCATGGCAGACCCTTAGCAAAAAATACCTGAATTTGTGGCTCCTGAAAACTGAACTAATGAGTATTGATTATTTTGGTCCACAACATTTGTGGATAAATTATTACAAAGTGATAACTGATACAGGTCCTCACAGGGTCATTATTTAGGTCCAGTAGACATATTTCTGGGACTGGGAACTTTTCTCCTCTTTTTCACCTGTCCAACAGTATGTTTTCATACAAGTAAAAGGCTCCTGGTATTGGTGGGTGTGATATATGACTCTACTTCTCATGCTGAGTTTTCAGACCTTTTAGAGCTTTTGCTTGAAGTGTTTTTCTATATGTGAGAGGGGTACCACTTGAATAATGTGTTTCTAGTGATATAAAGGCCCTTAAGAATTGATTAATGCTAGAATAGTTCAACTCAATAAAACGCTGCATTTAATTCTGCAACAAACCTATGATGTAGGTACTAACTGATAAATTTCAAAGATGAAGAAATTGAAATTTAGGGATGTTTTCAATTTTAGGTAACTCACAGTCACAGTCACGGTCATCCCGTTGTTCATCGATTTGCTCTAGGGGGCCCAGTAATGCCTCCATCATGAGACTTGTTGTTACTGTGTTTGGCATATTGAATACGTCACGGGGAGCTTTCCAGGTTTTGCTGTGTGGGTGAGATACACTCAGTAGCTGGCCGGGCTCTCTGAGAGGGGCAGAGGAATCAAACTTGGGTTGGCCATGTTGGCTGCATGCAAGGCAAATGCCCTACCACTGTGCTATCGCTCCGGCAGCACATATACTAAAATTGGAATGATACAGAGAAGATTAGCATGGCCCCTGTGCAAGGATGACACGGAAAAGTAGGTAACTCAATTTAAAAAAATTAAATTTAGAAATGAGAATAAAAGAGGAATATTAAAAATCTTGAGGGGTATTCATCATAAATATCCAGTGACTTCTGCATTATAGAAAAGACCAAGAAAGTGAGTCAGTAACTTGGGAACACTAATTGAGGGAAGTTGACTTGGTGGTGGGATTGGATTATCTGCCTAAAATTCAACTATCAAGAATGTTGTAAATCATGATTCTTCAATAAAAGATTTGTAAAGGTTGAGAACAGACACAAATGGTCCAGGTTATAAGGAGCAAGGTATTTTCCTTGCTCCCAAATGAGACCTTTTCAAGGGCTACTTCATGAAAGGCCATTTGAATGCCTAATCAAGTTGACATGGTTCCCAGCTCCTAATTCCCTTGAGGCCTTAAAAATCCAGCCAGCTAGTGCATAAACAATGGGTCTACACATAATAACTTTCCTTTGAACTTCTGCCTCGTTTGAAGGAAGCAAACTGAGATCTTGAAGGGCAAAAGTGACTGCTCTTCATGTTTTCAAAGATACTGGGAGCTGGTGAATGTAAAGGGCTGTTTGTAGCTCTACATTGTGTGTCAGGAATCTAACAGACACCATCTGGGAAGTTACATGACATGATGGAACCTGATACTAGGGTAACAGACACACCAGACATGCTGGTCTGTTCTTAGTACCTCAGCCAAAGAGCCTTCATGGTCTTCGTGGTCTTCAAAAACGAAAGCAACAGGGATCTGAAGCCAAACATATCTTTGCTGCTCTCTTAGTCCTGTTTCTGCTGCTAACTGCCTCTGTTCCTTCACACTGAAACTTAGTCTCTATCCACAAGTGTATTTTCTTAGATCTTTTTGAGTTCTGACAATTTATGATTCCATGATTCCTCTACTAAGTTCTGAGAAGCTTCAATTCCATGAAGTAAAGGGATTTTACTGGCTTTATTTGGAGAGGTCAAGGCACAAAGAAAATCATCCAATACCTCTCAGGGTTCTCCAGAGGCTAGACAAATAATCTAGCAGATTGGTAAAAAGAAGAGTAAAAAAGAATTTACTAATAGCATACACACTCCTGTAACATGAGAGTTGTCCAGCAAAAATGAGTAACTCAGTCACCTTGCTGGTTCAGAGAGCATCTATAAGGAATAGACCTTGTTAGAGCACATGACATCCAGATGTCAGTTGAGAGATTCTGAAAGAAGGCACAGTAAAACAGAGGTATGAAGGTTGGAGTTTTAACTCTTCTGCTGAAAAGAGGTAATGATTAGGTCTTCCAGTGAAACCCCTTACAGGAGAGGTTTTATGTAAATATATATTTCACAGGCAATATCTATTCTGTCTTCAGGGCCACTGCAATGAAATTAAACGTTGGTCAAGAGACTTATTTGGATTAGGCAATTTTTTTCATTCCTTTGCAGGGCTGAAGTGATAGCACAGCAGTAGGGCATTCGCCTTACAAGCGGCCAACATGGCCGACCCGAGTTCGATTCCTCCGCCCCTCTCGGAGAGCCCGGCAAGCTACCGAGAGTATTCGATATGCCAGACACAGTAACAACAAAGTCTCCAATGGAGACGTTACTGGGCCCGCTCGAGCAAATCGACGATCAACGGGAGGGCCTTTACCTTTACCTTTACCTTTATACTTTCACATATGAAGTGTTTTCTTTGGTAAATATCTACAAGTTTTCTCCATTAACGTTGCGTTTGTAGATATAAACCATTAAATTGTGATGAATTTAATGGTTTTGGGCTGGAGATATGGCACAGTGGTAGGGTGTTTGCCTTGCACGCAGCCAACATGTCTGACCCGAGTTCAATTCCTCCGCCCCTCTCAGAGAGCCTGGCAAGCTACCGAGATGTATCTCGCCCGCACGGCAGAGCCTGGCAAGCTACCTGTGATGTATTCGATATGCCAAACAAAATAACAACAAAAGTCTCCAATGGAGACATTACTGGGCCCGCTCGAGCAAATTGATGAACAACGGGAGGACAGTGACAGTGAAGCAATAGAATTAACTTTATTTTTCTTTGCCCTTCCTGAAAATTAGAAAGGGAAATGATGTATGGCTTTTTATGAATGATTCCCAACAGGTAATATTATGGAAGATCTTATAATCATTTAGGAAAAAAGAGATGTTCATATTTAAGGAAAATGCAGTAATTCTGAGTAGATATTTTTCAAGTAATTTCTTTCTACCAATAGTTTGAGTACTCCCAATGTATTGAATGTATTTAGTGTACTAAATACATTTGAATACTGCCAATGTATTGACTTATTTAGTGAGTCAATACAGATACGGGGAATATTTTACTTCATTATTTTCTCTCTGATACATTTCCTCAAAGTTAAAAAACACTTAGTAAAATGAGTAAATACGGCTCTCCTCCAGAAATTTCTAATGTATATTTTCATTTTATACTATAGTCCTAGTAAAATGACAGAAATACTGAGCTTTGTTTCTCTTACAACTTAAAATGCACAATTGCACAAAAAAAGAAAAATCTAAAATAAGCACAGTGTTGTCCACTTGAACTTCCTATGATGGTGTATTACTTTATATGGTGAAATACTTTATATCTTTCTAATATAGTAGTCCATAGCACATGTGACTGTTGAGTACTTGAAATGTAGCTAATATCACTGTATCACTGTATCACTGTCACCCCATTGTTCATCGATTTACTCAAGAGGGCACCAGTAAAATCTCTATTCCTCCCAGTCCTGAGACTTTAGCCACCTCTCCTTACTCATCTTTCCCAATGATTGGAGGCTCTTTCAAGGTCAGGGGAATGAGACCTGTTATCATTACTGTTTTTAGCATATTGAATATGCCACGGAAAGCTTGCCAGGCTCTGCCCATGTGGGCGGGAAAATCTTGGTAGCTTGCTGTGCTCTCTGAGATATATATATATATATATATATATATATATATATATATTTGTTGCCTACTGTCTGAACCCCATGAAATATGGTGTGGTAATTATGGAAAATGGGTAGGAAGTGTCTTATGATGTGTCTGGAAAGTGGCCTGAAGCATGGCAGTGGTTGGGTTGTGGAGGTCGGCTGCTGGGGCTGGGTCCTTTGGGGCAGGAAGTGCTCTCACCCGCCCCCCTCTGGGGCACCCCAAGTGAAAACAGCCTGGCGCAGAGTCCGGTGGCATGGTTATGGGAGCCTCATTTTATGCTCCCTTCCAGGAGAAGCAGGCATGAGAACTCACAGCTGAACTCACGTAGCTAACATACCCAGAGAATTTTTTATTTAATTTCAGTTAATATACATTTACATTTAGATAGTGATATTGGCACAAAAGTGGATTTTTGCGAGCTGGTGGGTCCTTGAGAATTGTATGAAAGATTTGCATACAAAACCTGGAAGGTTAAGAAGTTAGAGTTTGTTATATAGTTTAAAGTATATGGGTACTACCAATATATTGAAGAAGGGAATATCAGTGTTTTTTGTTGCTCAATTATTTATGAGTCAATACAGGTACAGGGAATATTTTACTTCATTATTTTCTCTCTGGTACATTTCCTCAAAGTAAAAAAAACACTTAGTAAAATGAGTAAATACGGCTTTCCTCCAGAAATTTTTAATGCATATTTTCATTTTATGGCAAGCTACCTGTGGTATATTCAATATGTCAAAAACAGAAACAACAAGTCTCACAATGGAGACATTACTGGTGCCCGCTGGAGCAAATCGATAAACAATGGGAGGACAGTGCTACGGTGCTACAGTCCAATACAGTCCTAGTAAAAATGACAGAAATGCTGAGCTTTGTTCCTCCCCAGTGTCTAGATCTCTCCTTTTACCTGTGTATGAAGTCACTCATTCTGTCTTATGATGTCTGACCCAGTGTCCAACTTCCTAAACCCTGTCCCTCGCCATCTTCTTGCCTCCAGTGTACAATGGCCTGGCCTAATCCCAGTGCCGTTTTCTGCAGTGCCTCAATGAAATTTTCATCGTCTCAATGAAATTTTGTTGCTGGGTGTCTTTTGTACGGTATCCCAATGGTTTCCTGACATCTCAGCTTTCCTTAGTCTCTGAACACAGCCATGTGTGCATAGGTGAGATCCCCGTGTTCTATACCTGTCACTGGGTCTCTTTCAACTGTAACCCAGCAATTCCTGTCATCTGCCCTGTTCTTCTTCATCTCCAGCCACTGCTGTGTGGATATGCGTGAGATTCCTGGGCTAAGCACCTTGTCACAGCCTGGGCATTGAAACCCTGCCTGAATCTGCTGCTTGTTCAGGTCTCTGAGCCTTCCCTGCATTCTGCCATCTGTCTGGGTATGCAAGCCCTACCTGGTCCTGCAGTCCACCCGGTGTAGGTGAGTGTATGGAGAGAGAGAAAGGCTGACTGGAGGCTTCTTTTTATCCATTGTCTGCTAACTACAGCGATCTCCTTACCTGATTGGATTGGATATCTTTTTTTTTCTTTTTCTTTTTTTTTCCTTTTTTTATTAGTGAAACACCATGAGGGGTTGATTGGATATCTTTTAACGGGCGAGATTTAAATGGACCAACTAAATTCACCTGGCACTCCACTCTCCCGGGCTCGAGCGATAGCACAGTGGGTAAGGCATTTGCCTTGTACACGGCTGAACCAGGTTCGATTCCTCCCCCCCTCCCAGAGAGCCGGGCAAGCTACCGAGAGTATCTTGCCTGCATGGCAAAGCCTGGCAAGCTACCTGTGACAATTCAATATGCCAAAAACAGTAACAACAAGTCTCACAATTTGTTGTGAGATGTTACTGGTGCCCACTCAAGTAAATCGATGAACAACGGGAGGACAGTAAGAGTGACTCCACTCTCCCACTCCCACTGTATCAGCCATATTTATCTAGAACTTATTATATTGCCTAGCACTGGTCTAAAAATTAGCCTTTGCTACTTAGACATGTTGTTTCTAATTTATGTTATTGGTTTTGAGCCATGTCCATTGGTGTTCAGGACTTAACTCCTGGTTCTGTGCCCAGGGATCACTAATGACAGTGCTCAAGAAACATTATGCAGTGCT